TAATTACGAACGTTCTTCTACATATATTAAAAATTCTCAACATAGCGAACGTATAAATACATAGTTTTTATCAAATTATTTATATGAATTTGTTATCATTCTAAACCTCTCACACATTTAACTTCATCTATTGCGAAGATTCACGCATATTATAGCTTCGAACGTCTCGCTAGCGCGCTTTTACGACAGAATATAGGTACAGGAATAAGGATGTCACGACGAAGATGGTGACGTTCCATTATATATACATTTTTACTGATTTGAATTTTGCGATTATAATATCGTTACGTTATAATATCTTTGTTCACGCTCCATAGAAAGCAAAACTAAAGACTTTTCTTATGCAATAGGGCCTCCAGCTATTGATTGAGACTATTATAACTTAACTGGTCCAGCCATTATTGAGATCCGATAATCGTACTTCGGCTCAACTAAGCGGCTCGCGTATACCCGATCTGTCTTGCCACTACCACGTGTACACTTGGCACGAGACACGACTCTTAATACATATATAATTCTTATCTATAATTCGTATGTATTCGCGTATATAAACATAGACATAGTCATAGACATAGGCATAACCAAGAATACAATTCACGAATATTGACCGCCGACTTGTTACGCTATTGCTTTCTGTTATCGTGTTTCACGCAATATAGAAACAATTGAAGGAAGTTCAAAGACTGCAATGACTACCTATTCTCTTTGTCTAATCTCTCTAATGAATGCATTCCTTAAACAGTTTATTGACATATGTATGTACATACATTATATAGGTACATTGTGTTTGGTTTAAATATTTATTTTTAATTATTTTTTTAAATAATAGAGTTATAACAAATTGTTTGAAAAATAAAAGTTATTTTATTTAAACATCTCTATATATGTAATGATTTAAACGAAAGTTTTAAATTATTTTTGTAAATATTTTTAATGGCAAGTTTATTTCTTCAATGAAATACCATATTTTATTACAATTTTTTTTGTGAGATATTTTATATAACGATTTAATAATGTGTAATAAAATGTGATTTTCGGTAGTTGTTCGTGAAATGTATTGTTACTTAAGCTGCTTTTAGTATGTGAATGAAGAAACAAAACATCATCAATAAAAGAGTGTTTGTTATAATTTTCCAAAAATTTTGTAAAAATTATCCAAACTAATAGACTTAAGTTATTATTTAAATAAATTTTAGCAGATTTATTTTAAATGAAGATTTGTGTAACATGCACATCTTTTTGAAAGGCAACTATATGTTTTCTTTAAATCAATTGATCTTATTATTCTGTTCATAAAAATATTAAGGATTATTGAGAAATTAATAACTTTTGAATTATTTCATGTTAAAATATACTAAAATAAAGCATAAAATATCTTGTAAACTATTTATTTTTTATATTTCTGTTTTAATACATTTATATGTAGAAAAACTATATGAAGAATATATAATATTATATCTAGATATATTATAAGGAAATATATTTAAAAATTCATATTATTCCATTTTTAAGAAAATGGCGATAAATTGAAAGAGGAAACACATTTTTTTTATAAGTGCTCAACTCAACGAGAACAAACCTTTTTTACGGCTAAATGATCATGCAATATTTTATATATGCTGGTGGAACTAATGCCTAAGGTTGTCTCAATCTCACAGTATGTCACATGACGATCTTGCATTATTAGTTTTTGCACAGCATCAATGTTTTCTGACACAACAACTGATTTTGGACGATCTTCACGACTTTCGTCGGTGAGCGAACGGCGACCACGATTAAATTCGTTATACCAGCGTTTCATAGTGGCAAAGGATGGGGCTTTATCGCCAAAAGTGGAAGTAAGTTGATCGATGCACTCTTGTCTTGATAATCCACGTCGAAAGTCATAATAAATCATTGCACGAAAATTTTCACGAGTTAATTCCATTTTTTGGCTGAGACACAATTTTCAAGTGACTGTAAACAATACAAATCGCGCTCAAATAACAAAACGTTCTGAAGAAGGTTATGGTCAAAAATGTCAAACTTTCTAGTGGAAACGTCAGATGGCACCTGACAACACTCAGTGTTGCCAAGGCTCAAAATATAAGTAGTGTCCCTCGTATAAGCAAAATCGACATGTCATTCAAGCAAAGTCATTCTAACTATCGTTAAAAAAATATGAGAAAATATTTCAAACGAATAATCTTTTATATTTTTTAATTTTTAAATTAGTTTATAATCTTTTACATTTTTGGAACTTCTAAGGAAAATTAAAGAGCAATTAACGCCAAATTCATATACATATAATTTTGACTTCAATTGCTCGCCACTTTTTTATGTTAATGCATTGTTTTTCGCACTTTTGAAAAATGACAAATGTACAAACATCATTATATAAGCATCTTATCTGTAGTCATTTTGTAACTGGCTGTTTGGCAACTATTTATATTTTTTTGTAATATTTATTTCTTAATATGAAGTAACATTGAAGACAGTTATTTAATATTGTATATTATAAATAATTTCTACGAATAACAATGTGTTAATTCAAATCCTAACGAGAAATTCAGTCAAACATTTTTGGCGAAATATCAAAAACTAAAATAATGTAGTGAAAAAATAAATAGATCGAAATAAACGCACTGACGCAGTAGCATAATTTTACATACAGTTACGTATACTCCAACTAGATAAGTACTTTAAAATGACCGTCAGCCTTTCACTGTGTAAATTATGTATTAATATATTAATATATTAATATGTTAATATATTAATGTATTAATATATATTATATTATAATATTATATAAATCAATATACTAACAAGGAAACATACTAATATACAAATATGATGTAATATACAAATATTACAAATATGATGTAATATAATTATAATTAAAAAAATCTTACTTTTTTTTAAATAAACGTATTTTTTATGATATATAATATTATTATGCATTTTAAGGGAATAAAATATCCTTTAAAAAAGAATATTTTTGTATTTCTAAATATACATCAATAAAATGATAAATGTAAAAATATTTTAAACAAAACTTTTATAACGTGATTTTAAACGCACTTTGTAACAGTGTATTCATATTTTTTAAAATATTCTAATTACTGCATTTTAAGAATGTTTTTGTAATCAACATAAAATTTATTTAAAGACAAATTTGATTATATCAAAATACTTTCTAAAAATGTATTTTTAAAAAAAGTTATAAAAGTCCATTCATAATCTTAGTCCTATTTACTAACAGATTTTTTTTCTTTTAGAATTTTTCGTAATAAATTTAGGGCTAAGCTATCTTAAGAGAAATAAATTGCAGAAAATTTTAATATTAAAGTCGGCACAGCACAACTTATTTCTTTAATGTAGTTTATTCTTGTATAATTTTGTGTTTTCGATAACTTTTTAACTTATTTCGCAAAAAATATTTTGTATTTAATTTGAGAATTTTTAATTACTTTGCTTTTAGATTACGATAATCGATAATGGTAGTTCTAGATTTTTATTTACGTGATATATTTCTGTTAAACTTTCATTTGTTCAATATATTACACATTTTAGTGTTTTCGTTGTGATTGCATTTTATGATTACAATGAACAATTACATTTTTCGAATTATGCTGTATGCATTTCGAAGCATGCGATATGTATTTCGAAGTGTGCGATATGTATACGGTGAAGATACGAGTATGATGAAACGGCAATGCAGTGGACGCGCTGCGGCAAGGAGATATACACACTGACAAAAATGCATGTAATTTTACATAGAAATTACATGTTTATGACTGGAAAATTGCCTAAATATGATTGGAAATTTACAATTTCCAATAAATTTCCAAGCATATTTGAAATTTGAATTTAGATAATTTTCCAATCATGTACATGTAATTTTCATATAAAATTACATGCATTTTTTTCAGTGCAGGAATATTTTTTTTCTATTTACATTAAAAGACTGATACGATAATCATTTTACGATGCTCATAATTACGCAATTGTAAATAAAATTATGTTATTGCATTAGGTCAGTGCAGTTACATCTATATTTATTTTTCACTGCATCATTCTAATTTTTGACATTCGGCCAAAAATGTTTGGCTAAATTTCTCTTTAGCACTTTAACAAACGTTATACAACACGTTATTATATATTACGCATAAAAGTTATATATAGATAATACTATACATCTAGAACATTATTTCGTATTGAAGAAGCGAAGAAAGAACTGTCACCAATCAGCAAATGTCAGAAAGTGTGTTATAAAGATATGATTAGAATACATAGATTAGAATATAGATGTTTCTTGCGCATATCTCAAAAACGCATTTTTAAATTGAAAAAAATCTTGCTTATATATTAAAAATCTGGTATATTTGATTAGTATATTTGTTAGAAAATGAACGAATCAAAATTCTTCTAGAAATAGCTAGACTTATGATTAATTTCTTTCTGTTAAACATACTAGAATTTTAATTGTAATCTCATTACATAGATAAATCAATTGAACCAGAATTTCGTTTTTATTACAATTGAAATTCTGACATTTTCTGTTTTATTTAGTTGGGTCAGCATAACTTTTTAATGAAAAAATCTATTTTTCTAAAATATTAATTATTACGTCTTTGTTGACCTACACATTAAATCTATAGTGTCAAATTTAACCTAACGTGACTCGCGTCAATTTGACACTATATAGTGTTAAATTGACACTGTATAGTGTCAATCATTGTTTCAGTATAAAATAACGATATGATTGAGTAGGAGCAGTGGCGACTCACGTTAAGCTAAATTTGACGCTATAGATTTAACAGTGCACTACATATGTAAATAATAATTTATTACTACTTTTCTCATATTAACTTTTCTTTTAATAAACAAAAAAGCATTCATGTTTTATGTGAAAATCTCGTACATTAATTAATTATTTACTGTGATAATGATGCTAAGTTAAATGAAAACAACTGTAATGAAAATAACAATTAATATAAAATTTATTTAAATTATTATAGAGGCGGACTGGCGAGGTAACGGTGAACAGCGAGGAACAGAATGCGGTGTTTGTGTGTATTTCCGGTAAGTAACTTTACGTTTTTTCTTTTGTAAATTTCGGAATATGATAATAATTATTTTATGAGTTATACACACACATTATACAATTAATGTTCGATAAAATAAAATATTTTAACAATACCAAAAATTTAATTACAATCATTAATCAGCCAGTTCTTTGTAGCAATTAAATTAAAATGTAATGTTGCAAAAAAATTCATTATATTTAATATTACTACACGATTAGTTTAATAAAAATTTCTTTTTATGAAGAAATTTTAAAAGTTACATTTTATGCAGAAACATTTGTGAATAATATTTTATACATTTTATAGATAACACTTCACACTTAGGAATGCAAAAACTATGGTCTGATCTTAATGTACATATGTTATTTTAATATAATGTAATTAGATGGATAGGTCAGGTTAGTATCTTTACTCATTTTTAGTTTAATATTAAGCAAGTTCATAAATGTCTTATCAGTATTGATAATATTAAAATCAAATTATTAATAATAAATCAATAAGGTGAAACTGTGTATATTTCACTTCTAGCGTCACACTAGCATCAGACCAAATAATAGTCGATGTATAATTTAAAGTATAAAAAATACAAATATTTATAATTTACATATTAATATTAGTCATCAGTTTGCCTGATGAAAATCTGAAAATATCAAATCTATTTATGCCCTATCACACTTTGTACTTGTCTTACATTATAACAAAGTTATGGCACTGAGATTGTAAGATAATTAATTTTTCCCTCTGTTTAAATTATTTTCAAGTAGGAAATGGATAAAAAATATTATGTAAATACTAAAAACGATTGACGATTTTATTGTGCCTCTAGATATAAGAGAGCAATATAATAGTTAATCATTCCTATTTTTATATTGGATATTTGTATTATAAAAATATTATTAAGATAATGACATGATGGGTGCGTTCAAGGCAATAAAGCTACCAGTTTGTTTGCCAAGTAAATGCTACGTAGCTAACAAACAGCGGCTCGTACATCGTATAATTTTTTGCAGCAAATGTAATATATTAGAAATTACCGTTATTGTTAGAAAGTAATGGTATGTGTCATTAATAAAGTAGAATTTGCATTTTCTGATAATGTTACATCCTTAAAGATATTTTTGTCATATATAAATGAAGACTATAGTGAAATATAAATAATATTATTAAATTTGCAGCATAAATTAACCAACGCATGAGTTAAAAAGCAAATAAATATGTTTTATAATAGTTACAGTAAATTAAACTGCTAACTTAGCAATGATAAAATATGTTATTAAGTTAGCCGTTGTAACAAAGCAGCTAACAATTTTTGGTAAAACTTACTAGAATATTATATACTAATCTTTCCGTGTATATAAATCTGCAGAATATTTTACGTATGTTATATCGCAAGTATCTGCAATTCTTTCTTTCTTTCTTATCATTCTTTCAGTTCTCTCTGTTATTCTCTTTCTTTGTTTTATTTTACCTTCTCTGCTTTTTCTCTATCTTTTTCTTTTTTTTCTGATCCTCCCTACATTCCTTGCTTTTCTTATTTTCTGCAGTCTCTTTTTGCTTTATTTTTCCATCCTTTTTGTTTTTTTTTTGCAATTACTCGAGGCGCATTCATTCCAACACACTCTAATATTTCATCTACTCATCATTTGTATATGTCTTACGGCATTCTTATTCGCTATTCTCGTAACAAGACAAATAACTATCATTTAACCATTCATATCTCTAATCTTTTCTTTCTTTCACTTTATTAAAATAATAACCAATAGCGTCATATATTCTAATAATACTAAAAGTAATAATTGATTCGATTTCCTGAAAGAAGAAATCGAGATACACGGTAATATCTCGTTCCACAAGTGCACGCATCAGTAGACAAGTGAGATTATGTATTTTTATGCGAGCTGTCTAGTTAAGCAAAAACATAATTATTAAATTTCAATAACGACTAGATCAATTGGCTTTTTGTTAGGCTTAATCGATTACTCGAGATATTAGGTCTGTTTTTTTATTGCTGCACTCTGAACCGGTGCAATAAGTTGAAGTGAAACAAACGTATATTTGTTTTATTTCAACTTATTGCACTGTGTGTACCAGTTCAGAAAAAGTGCAGCAATAAAAAACAGACCTATTGTGTACAAATTAAATTGAGAAGCAATCGACGCGCAATTTGCTTGAACCGAAATTAATAAATTCCCACAAAAATATTATTAGGCATTAAGATCCTTGATTGGAATATGGCCTTCTTCGCTTAATTATATTAGTATATATTTTTAATATATATATTTGTATTAAATTCATTAATAGCCTATGTAAGATATTTAATTTTATTATGAATAAAATAATTCTAGAGCAGTAATTAAATACTTAATAATTTGTATTTAAATATTTCGGTATCTCATTTTTAAATATATATTGAATATTATTTTTTACTTTTATTTACTTTTAATGTTTTTATGTTTTATACATAAGGATTCAGGAAAAATAAATGTCACAATATTTTTCTGCTTAAAATGATTTACTATATAATTGCTAATTTAAAATATTACCAAATTATTTTACACTTTTAGTAAATAAGGCTGTGATTTTATTATTTTTTTTATTTTAAGATTAAAAAGATAATTTATCACTTATGACATCTTGAAAACGCTCACTATTTCATAGATAGCAGCTTATTTCGTAATTCTGGTGCATCGACTACGTTACCAGAAGTCCGTAATGGATCATCTACGGCGGAAGCCGCATTCAGACGTTTATCGGATGCGGAACAAATTCTGCTGGAGAGTCTGGACATCGATCAATATAGACCCAGGCATACTGGCCGATTTCTGACGATGCATAAAAGACGACGTAAGAAGCTTACTACCAGATCCTTGAATCAGGAACCAGGTATCTTGGATGATATCTTCCACGGGCTGGTGCAGGTAATTTATATATAAGAAATAATGCTTTTTAAAATAATTATAATACTTGTAAAAAATTAAAACCATTTTCATTAATATCATACAGCAATATTTTCTATTATATTTAACTTTTAAGATTTCAGTCGAGATTTAAGTCTAACAAATGCTTTTTTGTTTCATACATAGTGTGCATGAATATGAATTAGAAATGCAAAATTACTGTCAAATTCAATTTTACAATTATTTACGGTAAAATGGTAATTTATTGGTAATTTTAGTAAAATTTGTTGTTTTTTATAGTTTTATGCACAAATAGACTGTATTTTCGTAATTATGTATAAGATTATACAATCATTCAATATTCCTAATAGAAATCGCTGATAGAATAACAGGTCTATTAACTAAACCTATTAACTAAATCTAAACGTACCTTACTGAAAAAAATTATGTCACAAAGTTACATAACAAAATCATGCAATTAAAACATATAAATCACGTAATGGATTGTTCCAAATCAGTACGTGATTTTTTAAAATCACGTAATTTGAAAAGTCACATGATGATACATTTTTTTCTTCTATTTCTATCGTTTAATTTTATAAGTTTATAAGGTATGAAAAATATAATTTAAGACTACTGTACCTGTCACACTTTTTGTTTTCAAAATTTTAATAAAAAATTTATTTGAAGTTTCTCTAGTTATATATATATATATATATACTACATATCTATATAGTTTCTTAATTATTATATCAATATGTAGTACCTATCAAAATTATGTTACATCAAAATAAAAATTTAAATTAAATAAAGTGTTTTTAAACTTTTTAACTTAATGACTAAATGCTCTTATATCAAATTACTTTATTTTTATAATTTTTTTAAATTACCATTTTACCAGCCTTCATAAATTTACAGCCTGATTAATTTACAGTAAATTACCAAGTAAATTATCGTAAAATGTGGTCATTTTCATCTCTAATATGAATAGAAAGTCATTTTGTTTCACGCCAACGCCCTTGATAGAATATCAGGACGTCTTATTTTATTGTTATCACAAAAAAATGAAAGAAGTAGCATATTTCCCAGATTTCTTCCAATTTTTTATATGTACCAACTTCAAGCCCAGTACCTAATATAGTTAATGCGACATCCCTAAAATAATAATATATATTATAAAATTTTTTTGAAAAGTGCAGTTAGACTTATTGCCCTATTACGGAGAAATATATGAGTAGATAGGTTGAAAACCTATCTACTCATATATATGTGAACTTTTTTGAGAAAATTGATAGATTTGTCAGCGCGAAATTCAGTAGAAGTGATAGATATGATGGAAGAAGTTCATCCTAGCTTGGAATAACGCATAATATAAAATTTCTTATCAAGAAAGGAATAAAATCCTCGGAAATAGGTATGTATATATTCAAAATTGAGGCAATATCCCGCACTATAATGCGCCGATCAGCACAAATAACTTCATCAATTCGGTCAGCATTCTCTGCCATTATCGATATTCTTCGGCGTCAGGGATGCGGTTCATTCTCGACGTGTTGTCGCCTTTCTTTAAAGCCTTACTTCATTTATAAATGCTTATATCTGACGACGTTTTCTTGCCGTACTGTGCTTTTTCCATCCTTGTGCAATTTCCGAGAAAATATTTTACTCCGTCCTTGGTAAGAAATTTAATTATTATGCGTTGTTCCACGTTTGGATGAACTTCTTCGCTCATATTTGTCGCTTCTATCAAACTTTGCGTTAGCAAATCTGCCAATTTTTTCAAGAAAGTACATTCAATATTAAGTGATGCGAACCGCATTCACGTATGCCTCGTTATTTGGGCATGCAATTTAAATTATAATTTAAATTTGAACGTCTTCGTATTAACTTCTGTATTAATTTTTGTGGATAAATATTATGATGATAATAATCAGTGGGTGACATGCTTGTTTCGAAACCGTTATACGATGATAATCAGCAATTATTTATCCTTAGCACATTTCATGTTAGCGACGCGATCAGATCAGAAGAATCATATTGAACTTGCCATTCAGGCTTTTTATAATATTTTGAATATATGTAAGCAGATATATTATACTATCATAAAATATTTCATATCATATTTAATATTAATATGTTGTTTTAATAATATTATTCATTTAAAAGTATATAACTTGTTTTATATTTAACTATATTTAAATATTTTATATATTTCCACACATTTGATTTTTTTATAATACTCTATGTTTTTTAAAATCATTAATTATTGTATTTTATATGTTACCTTTATTTTAATATGTAATAATATATTTTTAAATCTTAAAGTTATTATAAAACATACGTTTTTAGCACATGTAATAAATGTGCCAACATGGGCTACTGCTAATACTTACACGCGATCTGAACGGAAAGTCACGCAAAAATAGCGCAGCACAGAACATGTTAGAGGTTTTAATCTTATTGTAAAAGATATAAAAAATATTTAAATAATTTGTTGTTTAGAGAAAAATTGCTTTATTTTGACATAAAATAATATTAAACTATATTAAAAATATTTACTTTAAGCTACGGACTTTTTATCTAAATTTATATCAATTTTCAAATTTTGAGCAATACTTTATATTATAATCAGGTTTTAAAATTTTGTCAAAGTAAAATTTTTTTTAATTATAAAAAGAAATTTTTTTAACACTATATGATTTTATTTTTCTAATATCTATATAAAACAAAGTTTTTATTTTTAATTATAATTTATAAATTATATATAACGCAACACTTTCGAAAAACAATTTTTATTGTTTTTCGAAACAAATAAAAAATTTTGTAATCTAGAAAGAATATAATAAAAAATAACCTATATTTGTTACAAATAATAAAAATTTTAAAAATTCTTTACTTTTAAATTTTAATTTTACATAAGAATAATATGATATCCTTTTCTCATTATATTTTCATGCGCGCGCTGAGTTTATATTTTCATTCCTTCTACTAACAATACTCCATTATGAGTATCATCATATTTGGATTGTATGTGTTACAGTGCGTGTTACAAAGAGCTGGAAACTGGCGCTTTAATGCTTTCACGCTGGAAACAGTCACAGGTGGTAAGTATAGTGAAAATTACGTATATAAATTTTTACAATATTAATAAAACAACCAATTTTATATTATAAAATTATACTTCTTATGTTTTATTTTAATATTGCAAATTTTTCCAAAATGATTTTATTATTTTCATAACTTTTTAAATAAATAAAAATTATATGACGATATTTAATTGAATACATTTAATAACGATATATCATTTATGAAAATGTTATAATAAGAATTTTTATTTTCTTTTATACCGTGAACTATTCGAATTGGTTCAAAAATTTTTACAATAAAAACTTTTGACACATAATAAGTACATTAATATGGTTTAATGTTAATACACGGTCTGAACAAAGCCACACAAAAATAAAAAGTGCAGAATAGAACATGTTAGAAAATTTGATCTTATTGTAAAAGATATGAAAAATATTTAAATAAGTTTTTATTTAGAAAAAATTATTTTATTTTGAAGCAAAATTATGATCTTCTATTAAAAATAATATGCACTGTTAAATCTATATCAAATTTAATCTAACGTGAGTCGCCACTGCTTCTACTAAATATATCGTTATTTTTTACCAAAACGATAGTTAAATTTGACACTATATTATGTTAATTTGACACTATATAATGCCAACTATAACCATTGTTTTAGTCTAAAATAATGATATGATTGAGTAGGAGCAGTGGCGACTCACGTTAAGTTAAATTTGACACTATAGATTTAACAGTGTGCAGCTTAAAATCTTTCATCATCCTAATTTTGTCTTTTGATGAATTGCAATACGTTTGGAAAGAAAAATTTATTATTACGCATAATAACCTCCAATATTTGTCTATAGAAGAGGATTAAACTTACTGTATTTATTAATTCTAAATAACACTTTAAAAACCTGCATTTCAAAAAATTTTATAATAACTTTCAATATTTAAACAAAAGAATACAGTAGCGTTCAATATTCTATACTTCAGATATGAATAATTTTAATATTTAAAAATGATTTAATATGATATAATATATTAATGATATAATATATTAAACATGAATTAAATCTTCAAATATTTGAAAAAAGGATTTTATATTTAAAAAAATATTACATGAAATATTTAAATTATTAAAGTATTAACAGATCTAATTTGTATAAACACAGATTCACAAAGGGATTAAAATCATTAATTCGTTTAGAATTAGATTATCATTATACGTAATGTTGTGTTTAATTTTCAGGTCGTTCGCTGCCGGTATTATGTGTCCATCTCTTCCATTGTTATGGTCTTTTTCAATACTTCAGTTTGGATGTTGTAACAGTATGGAAACTATTTGGTAAGAATGCACTTTTAATTGTTTAAAATTCCGCGATTTCTTATGAACAAACTAATTATTATTTATTCTATATTGATTATAATGCAAAGCCGTGATGAGCACATAGAAATATCACTTATCTAATCATATTTTTCCTGAGAGAGGGAGAGAGGAGAAAGTTAAAACAGATTTGTATCGTTTTTATTATGTAAAAAAAGAAGATAGAATAAAAATAAGAAAGTAAAAATGAATAAAAATTTTTGAAAAAGTGATCAATTTGAATATCATGGTCAAATAATTTATGTAATTATTTAATTGAAGCTTTTATCGAGGAAGGTTATCACAGTACAAATCCTTACCACAACAGTATACATGCTACGGATGTCACTCAGGCAATGCATTGCTTCCTCCAAGAAAAAAAGGTAATTTTTTATGTTTATTTTGCAGCTTTATAGACAAATGTAGAATTTTTTTAAATATAAGCAGCATGTAATATCTCAATTCTTCAGTGAGACAGAATGACCGAGTTATAAATTTGCAGATTAAAACACATCTAACCAATTTAGAAATTATGGCTTCCTTGATAGCGGCTGTAACGCATGACTTAGATCATCCGGGTGTTAATCAACCGTTTTTGGTCGCAACGAGTAATCATTTAGCTGCGCTTTATCAGGTAGGAACATCTTTGTTAAATTGTTCATTATAGAATTGAAAATCTGGGGATGACGTGTGGTAATAGAATAATTTTCATTAAATTATTGTTCAATCATGCAAACTTACGAAAGAAACGTTAATATTGTAGAATAGATCACGATTATACATACATTTTATATATAAGTTAGATAATTTTTGAATATTTGGTCACATACAGGAATTTGATCACATAACATATAAATTTGATATTTTCTAGCATATTAAAATTATTAATTTTTTAATGTTAATGTCTAAGAAAATAATAAATAATAAATTTAACGTGAATGTATGAATTATATAATGTATGAATTATATAATAGTTTTTAAATCAATTGATATAAAAACTTTTTCTTATTATAATTTCATACATCTTGACTACCACTTGAAATATTTCTGTTAATTTTGATATTTGAGAAAAAATTCTCTTTCGAGGGAGCAATTAAGAGGATAACAAAAGAAAAAAAATTTTTTTTAGATCATTTGTTTAAAAGATTTCAAGCTCAACATTTTGTTAAATAGAACCATACGTTTTTATTTGCATCACTGTATAGTTGGTATCGAAAATTTTAACTTTAAAACTACGCAATATATTTTTGTATACTCGATTTGTCATACCAAGCTGGACATTTTTATATTTAACTTTGACAAAACTGCATATACCTCGACAAATTTATTTCGAGAAAAATACCAAATTTTATGAAATATGGATGGAAAAAATCCAGATTGAAAATCGAGATACATATATGTGGGATGAGGGTTGGATTCAAATCCGGGACTTGTTGGCTACGAGTCGATTGCTCTCACACATTACCACATAAAATATGATTACAAAATAAAAAAAAATGTGCTTGCTACGTTGCAAAATATAAATTTAATATGAGTTTAATAATAATGATTATAAATAATTATAATAATTAAATATTTAAAAAATAGATAATTATTCTTTAAGTAAATTTTTTCATATTTTTGGGGGAATTTTTGTCATTATATCTTTTAAATAATTTATGTAATTTCACTTCTAATTGATAAAATTCTTTTTTAAAATTTAAGTGATATATTAACATGAATCAATTTTGTATTTTTTTGTAGATTATAATAGATACTTATTATGTACAGCATATAAGTATAATAAATTTTAAAAGTCCTAAATAAATAAAAATTCATTTAAGTTGAGAAATTAAGACAACTATATTATAAATTTATCGTATCGAAAAAATTCATCAATTTGGAAAGATGTGTTAGTTATTTGATATGGTATAATATTAGAAGTATAATTATAAGAATAATTTAATTTTTTATTTATATTACATTGTTATTGTAAATATTATATGAATTTACCCTGCAATAAGCGATCATACAGAAATATTTCGATAAATTAGTTTTCGAATGATGACGAAATTTTCGAAGTGAAAATGTCATAAATGTCATAATTATTACTCGCGTGCTGTATAAGCTAAGGTGTGCAAGACAAAACAGCAGGTATGAATATGCTTCACAACATTGTTCAGAATTAATATCATATTTCACTGCAAGAAAATTGTAAGGTAAAATATCGTTACAAATACAATTTACTCGTCAAAACACACATTTTCTAATTAAACTCTAGAAAGATGCTTTGTAAAAAATTATATATAAAAATATAATTTTATCCAGACATGTTAAAATAGTAACTAGAAAGCGAAAAATGCTGCAATTTGTCCACATCTTAACAAAAAACTCATTGATATCTGTCTAGATTGTAAATTATATATGAGTTGCTTTCCATTTATACATATATTATGATGTATTATTTCATCTTTTGCAAATCCCATTTCATTGATAAATAAAATAAAAGTTGGAAGTGCGTGCAACTATGTAAACAAATACGTATTAAATTATTACGTTTCATAATATATTTCAAGGAGAATCGCATATCTCTTGAATCATATCACTTTGAAAATATCGTTAGCTTGACGTGAATTATAAATACTTATATTTTATTTTATAGCGAGATTATTTGTAAATATTCAATCAGATTAAAACGTGTCTATCATAAATTAATGGAAAACAAATTTTTTTTTCAATTTATTGTTCAAAAAATAAAATTTGTACAAATTATATTACATTCTTTTTTAAATGCTCTAAATTTATTTCTTAAGTATTATTGTTTAATTTATAAATCTTGTTATATATAGTATCATCTTGTTATATATATTTTTTATTTTTTTTCTGACAATTATTATTTATAAATTAAGCAATATCTATCTGTAATCGAAGGTTGACAATTTCCAGAATACTTCTGTTCTCGAAAATCATCACTGGAGATCGGCTATAGGATGTCTTCTAGAAAGCGGTGTTTCGGCACAATTACCAGCCGACGTGAGATCAGAACTTCAACGGCATATCAGTTCATTGATCTTAGCGACAGATATTACAAGACAACAAGAATTTCTTACGCGTTTTAGGGTACATCTCCTTACATTTTTTTCTTTTAATTATTTTAATGAATCATGACATATTTTTTTTATTTCTCATATTGCAGGATTATTTGAGCAACAATTCACTTGAAATGAAACGCGAGGAAGATCGTCATTTCATCCTACAAATTGCTCTAAAATGCGCAGATATTTCCAATCCGTGCAGACCGTGGGATATATCTAGGAAATGGTCTTATAAGGTTTGCGAAGAGTTTTTCAGACAGGGCGATTACGAACGTCGTTTAAATCTTCCAGTAACGCCATTATGTGATCGACATACTACTAGCATCCCAAAAATTCAAGCTGGTTTTTTCAAACACGTCGTTACTCCTCTCTACGTAGAATGGCACCGTTTTCTCGGTGATGGTTTGAGTGTGTCATTAATGGAATATTTAAAGATGAATCAGAAAAAATGGGAATCACTGATCAATCAAGAGGTAACTGAAGAAAAAGAAACCGACATTTCTGAATTGGATGAACCTGAAGGAATCATTAGTTCGGGCGAAGAAACGGCCGCTGATGAAGATTCGGGCAGTATTGATTTGCTGATACCAGCAACTTATGTGCAAACAGCGCGAATGCCGACATTGCCAGGACGAGTTGGACTCGATCGCGTTGGTAGACGTCATTCCGTTCCTCTAAGTGTATCGAAATCATTGCACTTACCTTTAATCCAGCCCAATAGAAGAGAAAGTATGCCGATCGAACAAGCCAAAGCGAAAAATCAATTCTGGAAGATGGAAGATCAAAATTTATTGGGGCCGAGTTCATTGTCTCTATTGTCTTCCAAAAGTAATACGAGCGAGTCAAATGTTAGCGTTGTTGAGAGACCAGTTAGCGCAGAGAATCTCTTACCAGAGACAAGTATAGCCAGTATTACGAGTAGTGCCGAAGCATCGAAATTAAATACAGTTTTGCAATCGAATAATCAGTACAGCGCGCAAACTAAACAACTTACGCGACAACAGACTTTCCCTCCGTTGCAACCAAGTACGAGAATGAGGTATATGTCTGCGACCGCGGAGATGTCACAATGTTACATTCAGACGTTGATAGAAACTGACAATTCTTTTAGTTCCTCGACTAATACGAAAGAAAAATCATGTCCAAGCGGTCGGTACTGTTCGCACGATCCTAATTCACGTTATCAAAAGAAATCCAGCATAAGTCCTCTTTCTAAAGAATTACCGATGGATATATCTATCAAAAAACAAGGCTTGACTTTGTTGGATACAACAAAACAGAAACATACTGTCAATTCCATGCGTCGCCATTCTATACAGACTGTTCGCACTGATGATTCTTTTTCTAAACATAGATATAAAAGGCCTTCTTCCGCTCAAGATCCAGATTCCACGCAAATGTTCTATGCTACGTTAACGGGTTCTCATAGTGACAAAAACAAATGTGTTCCTGACATGTACATTGCGGAATGTAAGTCGAATTTGGATTGCAATACTGAATTTAAATGTCATGATGCGAAATTAACGGTTCAAGAATTGCAAACTACGTTGTTGCCCAAAAAATTAGATCAATCTATTTCATCGACTTTGAGCGCATATTCTGCACAAGAACCGCGAAGATATTCAACTTCTGTCACAGAATGTAAAACGATAACGCAGGTCGACCACGCAGGTAGACGATATACCACAATACCCGTGTCTTCTGAGCTTAGCACTCACAAAGTGTTCTTTATCGGTAGTCCTCCCGATTCGCCTCCTAATCATAGTGTATCTTCATCGAGTGAAAGTAGTGAGCCAAAAAGAAGTATCGATGAATCGAATAAGGAAACTAGTGTTGTCATTGGCAATAGAAAGGAATTAGATAATGTGAAAGATAAAAATTCGAAGAGCTCAAAGTTCAATTCCGATGCGCAAATGAAGGAAAATGTTGATCCCCGAACGAATGACGACGTCGCTAAAGCATCCTTTCGTAGAGGCAATCAGGTAATCTAACAATGATTTCTAAGGTTAATTTTTTTACTGTAATTATATTGGATTATAACGTGCATATATAAAAGATATCACTTTTTCTAACATTATATGTCGAAATGAATTTGTTGAGTGAAATTCTTTTGCACTCATTTTAATACTTTTATACTTCGTGTTTACGATGAATATATGAGTTTAATTGTGCTCTTGTGTATTCAATCTCATCTTTTGTATATTTATTTTATTATATTCTACAACTTTTCCTTTCAAAGTAAATTTCGTCTATTTATCAAATTTACCGCTATCTACGAAATAAGAAGACACAAAGTTATTTTTGTATAACGTATAACGTGGAGAATACTTAAATAATTTTTTACTTCCAATGTCATAATCGAATGTAGTTACAACAAACAATAGAAAATCTTTATTTTAAAATATTAATCCTATAATTACTGTACAGTTCATTTCCCTTAGAAATGTAATAAAATTCTTTCAATGTTTCTTATAAAAATTAACATTTTTTGACATATTAAAATGTATAAACAAAAAGGTTTTATTTACTTTTAAAATATCAAAAAATTCTCTCATATATTATGTTAAAAAATTAAAGAAAAATTATTTCTAAAAGTTATAAAGAAAAATTATTTTTTACATTTTTACTATTTAAGGTCTTTCTCTCTCTCTTTTTTCTTTTTCCCCTATTTTTGTTCTTTCCGCCTTCCTCGATTTTTTTTCTTCTTCATGATTCATTTCTCTTTTTTAACCCTTATAGTTATTTTAACCACTAGTTCTCTCGTCTTCCCCAGAGAATATCTTCTCTGATATCTCCTGTCATGTTCCCTCTACCATTTTTACATTCTTTTTGCACATGTTAACTTTCATGTTTTTCTACCCATTTTACACATCTTACATTTCTCAGTACTACTATCCCTTGCTCATTTCATTACCTAAATAAATATCTTTCCTTTCCGTTCTTTTTTAATACCTTTGTACTTTCTCATTCTCTTTATCCATTTATATCATCTGTTATATTTAGAACTCCTTAGACTTCCCGTTTTTTTACATTTTACATCTCTTTTTTCCTCGCGATTAATTGTTTATTCAATATCTCATTCTTCCTCCTTCATCCAAGTGTTTCCATCTCCTCTCTCTAAAACAATCTTTCCTTTTCTTATTTCCATAATCTCTCCTCCTTGTTCTCTTTAATTTTTTTCCAACACTCCAAATGCTCTTTTCTTCCAGTCTTTTTTCATAATCCTATATGCTATTCTTTCTTTCACAATTCCTTTGTAATTCTTGCCTCATTACATATCCTGTCTTTTGTTCTATCCCCAGTACCCATCTCAGATATCTTCCTGTAATCTTTTTACTTCTTTTCACTCTCTCTCTATTTCTGTTAACCTTGTTATTGATTACACTTAAAGTCAAATTTTTTTAGTTATTCGCAAATCTCATCTTTTTTATTTCCTATACCTGATACAGTATCATCATTCTCTTTTTATTTGCCGCTCTCTTATCTTTCACTTGTACATTTCGCTCGCCCCACACTTTTTGTTAGTATAATCTGTAGTAATCAAATTTCTTTTTACTTTCTCTTTAAATTTTCTAGTTGCATATATTGTAATCAATATTGAATTCAGGGATGGGCAAAAAGACGCGGATCAGCTCCAGTTGGTCTTCTATCGAAATTGGACGATTTTACTTCAACGAATACATCTACCAGAGTTGATCATAATTGCAGACGTGGATCAGTACCCACTGATATTACTAAACATCAAGGTATCAGAGCATGTATTCTAATTCTTCTATTTATGCACATGTTAGATTTAAAAACATATATATATACACATTATAATATATATGTATACACAGGGTGTTTGGAAAGTAATGAAAAATCTTTCGCATGGGGCAGAATGGACTAAACTGAGAAGAAAAGTCCTCTACCATTTTACAATTTCCGTAATAATTAACAAGATATTAATTACTAAAAATTGTCGAAAATTGATCTTCAATAATTTTTTACTCAAATACTATCAACTTTACAAAAAAACTGAAAGAGACAAAAATTGTTTATTTTCTTCTCCTAAAGCTCTAAGAATTTTTTCAGAATTTTTTATCAACTTTTTAATACTGCATTTTCTTATTTTTACCAACTGAGAAAATACGGTATTAAAAAATTCTGAAAAAATTCTGAAAAAATTCTCAGAACCTTATGAGAAAAAAATAAATAATTTTTGTCTCTTACAGTTTTTCTGTAAAGTTAATAGTATTTGAGTAAAAAATTATTGACCAATTTTTGACAATTTTTAGTAATTAATATCTTGTTAACTATTGCGAAAATTGTAAAATGATAGAGGACTTTTCTTCTCAGTTTAGTCCATTCTGCCCCTATGCGAAAGATTTTTCATTATTTTCCAAACATTCTGTATACATGTAGATTGTGTAACTATAAATTATAATTATAAATTTTACAAACTAATAGAATTTTATCAGTTTATATTATTCCTGAAAAAAAAACAGATCAATTTACCTTATATTTTTTTATCAACAACTTTCAACTTTTTGATTAATCTTAATCTTTTATAAATCGAAATAAGATATACAATATATGTATACAGGGTGTTTCCAAATTAAATCGCAAAACTTCGGGAGCGTGTAGAGGAGTAAAAAACTAAGAAAAAAAGTCCTATAGACATATGCTCGTTTTTGCTCCGTTTCAGAGAAATCGAAAAAAAATGTTTACATTTCTTGCCATATCTAGCACCGACATATTTGATTACATTTTCCACTTTCTGTTATGAATTTGTCAGTCGCTCTTTGAAAGCCTTTAACAGTAGATGAATTTTGTCTTTTGCAATATGCCGCGTACGTATTCTAATAGTGAATATGCTGATATGGTTTTTGTATACGGTTTCTGCAACGGTAATGCTTTAAAGGCGGTGCGAGAATATGCACGACGATTTCCAAACAGAAGAGTGCCAAACCGAAGAGTGTTTATGTTGACATTTAATAGATTGCGAGAGACTGGAACATTTTCAATTCGACAAGAAAACAACCGATTTCAAGCAGCGTTACGAAGAGATTTGCAGGCAGGGAATCGTATTTTACAACATTTTGACAATCATCCTGAGACCAGCGTTCGGAATGCGTCGGCTGTATTGGGAGTGTCACCACAAACAATTTGGCGAACTGTAAAAGGAGATAATCGCTATCCCTACCACATTCAAAAAGTGCAAAATTTATTACCTCAAGATCATTGGAACAGATTGAACTTTTGTAACTGGTACCTTCAGACATGCCACAATGATATTTTATTTCCATCTAAAATAATGTGGTCAGATGAGGCAACATTTACCAGAGGTGGAATAATTAATCAAAGGAATTATGATATATGGGCTCATCAAAATCCCAGGTCTGTTAGAGAATACAAATTTCAGCAAGAGTTTTCTGTTAATGTCTGGCTTGGAATTTGGAACGACGTTTTAGTGGGACCGTTTTTTTTACCTGCAAGATTAAATGGGGACCGTTTTCTAAATTTCTTGGAGAATGAATTTTCTGACTATTTAGAAAACATCCCATTACAACAACGTACTGAAATGTGGTTTCAATTAGATGGATGCCCTGCTCATTACAGCAGAGTCGCTAGAACCTGGTTAGATAGAAAATTCCCACAACGATGGATTGGACGTGGAGGAGCAGTACATTGGGCAACTCGTTCGCCCGACTTAACGCCATTAGATTTCTATGCATGGGGTACTCTGAAGCAAGAAGTTTATTCTTCGCCTATTCAATCAGAGCAACATTTGAGAAATCGTATCGTAGCTGCAGCGAACAGAATATCGCAAGAACAGTGCCTGGCTGCTACAAGAGCCGTGTTTGACAGATGCAATGCTTGTATTGCTGCAAGAGGTGCACATTTCGAACAAAATCTTCATTAAAAAGTTTATAAATAAAATAATTAAAATAATAAATTAAATATATTTTTTTCTTTTTTCGTGATTTCCTGCGAAACAAAGCAAAAACGAGCATATGTCTATAGGACTTTTTTTCTTAGTTTTTTACTCCTCTACACGCTCCCGAAGTTTTGCCATTTAATTTGGAAACACCCTGTATATTTATACCTTTACAAATAAAATTAACTTTATCGAATAATTTATATAAAAATATAATACACATAATATATATAGATAAATTATATACATGATTTAAATTTGAATTACATATATTGAATAAATATTTTGGATTAGCTATACTAGATGCTATACGAATATAATTATGAATATAACGAATGTGTTAAAGATTTATTGTTAGTAATGTTTTAATATATTTATAAAAAATATTTTAAAGATAAAATATAATATTGAAAGATAACGATAAAACTAATAAACATTATTACTAAATAAAATAAAAGTAATTAATTTCAGTTATTTTTTAGTGTAACAAATTTTTATTTAAAAAATGAGGCTTAAATTTACAATCTTTATTTGGAAGTATAGCTTTTGTCACTTACATTGTGAAAACGATGTTCTTTTACATATTAGGTGGAAGTTGTAACCGGTTAACTCTAGGCTATCGAGGAGACAATTTTTCGGATCTACGAAGATCTAGTCTTCCGCAAGAGACTGCATTAGGAAATCTTTTAGAAAATGTCCTCACTTTAACTCGTAAGTATATTTTAATAATATTATAACGCAGAAACGCAATTTTACATTAAATTATTTCAGGCGAACGTGAAAGCATTTCAATAAACAACAATAATAATAACAACAATAACAGTAGCAACCGCAGCAACAATAATGGCATTAGTAAATTTGATAGTACCGTATCCGGAATGCTTTCTCCGAGACGAGGATCAATACCAGCAGACATATCCGAATTACGTCGCGATCTATTTAGTAGGAATAATCTAAATAGTAAACCGCGAAACCGCAAAAAAGTTTTAAGAAGACGAAGTAGTGGTGGCCCAGAAATGTTCACCTGTGGATCTACCGATGGAAACGACAATGGTACGTGGCTCAAATGGAAAAGAGAAATAGGAAAGCGCGATCCTGTCCCCGAAGCATTTGTCAAACGACGGGGATCTCTACCCATAGAGATGGTGGCTGTTTCACATGCTGGTCGGTACAACCATAGATAAAGGAGGATGTCGTAACACAAGCGGGTACAAATATGTTTTCCAAAAATATACGTATTTTTCGTATTGTTCATTTTTATTTTCTGAGAAAATGGTTGCATTTCGGATAAAAAATTGTGCAACTATATTGAATAAAAAATTTTTACTAAATGAAAATTAATTGTAATCGATATATTCAAATATAAACAAATAATATATTACTAATTTTATTTAACATAAAATACTTGTACATCAGCTTGTTTACAACAGTATTGGAATAAAAATTAAATATATAATATAATTAAATTTTAATTTAATTAACTTATTATTTTATAAGCTTTATTTTAGTTGTTATGATATTCTTTTAATTTTAAATAATTTCTAAATTTTAATTTTAAAAAGTACCATGAAATAAATAAATTCATCATATAATATGTGCTTATTAAGCATATTGAAAACTTTCTATAGAGAGTCAATTCTCTAAATATATTAAAATACACCTATTGATTATAGTATACAGCTTAGAAAAGATGAAATGTTTCAGTTTTTTTTCAGGCAACTTTTTGTTTCTTATTGAGAAATGTTTAAATTGAAAATATTACACAATTTTTTTACGTCGCATACAATTTTTATATTTTTTAAATGCATCCCATATAGTGCAAACTGCATCCTTCTCATTTACTTTTTTTTTAGAATGACAGACATTAACAGAATTTAAACAAATTTTTATTCTACCCGTAACAAATCATCACGACAACAATCATGACAACAGCCGAATGTTATTCTTAAGTTACTGATAAAATTTCTGTTTATTGTAGGATCAACATCAGCATCACGTAGATCTAGCCTATGGCGATTTTAGTATGCTGTAGAAAAATAAGGGCCGTCCATGCAGCGATTAAATCATCACAACAGTCTTTCCTTGAATTATCAGTAGTAACATCAGCGACGATCGATTACTGATTTTTAAAATTGTCAATATTAAAGACATTTTTATCGATTGTAAATGTGAGCAAGTGAATTGTAATTATATTTTTCATGATTTTAAAGTGTTATGAGGACGATAAATCAATTTATACTTGAAGCGCGTGAATTGATTAATATCGATATAACATGTATATTGTGATATCACATGTATTGTGATATGTTCTTGCATGCGCTAGACAAATCGAAAGTAGTTGGAAGATTTTGATTGTTAATTGAGATGTTGCAAACTTATGTTATGTGTATAGGTATAATATTGAATATCGAGACTTTAGATCATATAATCTAATAAATAAAGAACAGAGAGAGAGAGATGGAGTAAGTGAGGAAGGGAGGGAGGGAGGGACTGAGTGAGCGAGTGAGTGAGTGAGTGAATGAGTGAATGAATGAGTGAGTGAGTGAGTGAGTGAGTGAGTGAGTGCGTGCATGCGTGCGTGCGAAATAAGAAAAGAAATGAGAAAAAATGTATACAAATATGTAGGACATATTTTATGAGTAGATTTAACATACAGCAACATAGACAAATAGCAAAAAAAAAATTAATATGAATTATCTATTTATCTCGTTCCCAAGATGTAATAAAAGGATAAGTCTTGCAATATTTCGCTCAGTTCATCTTTGATCATCGATTGAGAAAGACTTTGGTAAAAATCGAAACACTAGTTTCAATTAAAAAATATTTCAACTATAAAAACTCAATTAGAAAATATTAGAAACTCATTAAGAGTTAATTATATTATCTACTTTGGTTCATTAACACCTACATCATTCTAGTTTTTCTATAAACAAATTAATTATTCAATTTTTTTATCTTTTGTTTTTTTTTGTTAAATCTACTTGTCAAATATGTCCCACATTAAAATATATTTATAACTATATTACATTCCTCGCACTTTATATACTTGCGTGGAAGAAATAAAATAGCCAAAGTAATCGTTACATTTATTTGTGCCATATATACGAGAATTATTTGAAGTGCGATATTCTGAAAACTTGTATAATCATAGCTCAAATTACATTTGATAATTTATTATAAGGTAGGAAGAAAAAGACAAAGAGAGAAAGAGAGAGAAAAAGAAGGGAAGAGAAAAATAGAGTAATATATGCAGGATTTAATATGATTTTTTAATAATTAAAATACTTAGAAATGGAGAAGGAAAAAAGACTGGTAGAAGGCACCCGCCGTTATCTAGATCTACACATTAAAAGATCTACCTAGATCCAGATTAAAAGAACGATATAAATCGAACAAGATTTGCTCATAGGTGAGAAAGATTTCAATTTTTCGAAAAATATTCGCGGCAGGATAACATTAATTGCAAGCCACTGATCAGCAAATCGCGATAGATATTATTTATACTAAATAAATTTAAAGCTTTTAACATTTTTCCACTTATATTTACAATTATAAACATTTTACATCGAAAATGTACATATGAAAGCCGATAGAAGAATTTTGTTATATTTTTTAAATCAAATAAAATAATTTGAAGTAATAAAAGCTATTGTAGTTGACCTCAGAATGAATATACTCAATTTGAAAAAAGCACTTCTCTAATATTTCATCAGTTATATTTAAAAAACTAAGTTTTCCGTAAAAAAAATAGCATGCAATGCGTAAGATACAAATTTGTTAAATAATGTAATAACAATAATGATAATAATAATAACATTAAGACAGCGATATGTAAGAGGTACGGTGCGAATTTTTCTATCACAGGGTATTACCCATATGCCCTCCTTATGAATTCGGATGGATCATAGGATAGACCTGATGGATAAACCTCGAATAAATAATAATAATAATAAAACACGATAATACTATAATATAACAATAATAAAATAGTAATAAAAACATTAAAATTAATAACAGTAAAAGCAACAATAAAGTTGTAATTACTACTTTTATCATCGTTTACAATGCTATAATCATCAGCATAATCATCGTCGTTGTTGTTCTAATTATAATGACGTTCAAATAAATAAACGTTTTAAGATTAAGTTACAGCGATATGCGCGCCATATGCGATTCATCTTGGAGTTAATTAGTTAGCAAAGTACATTATTTAATTATAATTATTATTTAATATTCATAATTACGACACATAGGTTTATGGTACGTGAGCGTAAAATGAATCAAAAGACAACAATAGAAGTTACATTAATGCAAACATATTTTCAATACAGATATTATTAAACTGCCTTTGCGTAAATACGATCAGGAGATACCATTGTTAAAGATACTTGTATGTTATTAAAATTATCATCTGTAGAAAGTTTTGATAACAATATTATTTACATTTGAAAATTAAAATGTAAAAAATAAAATGATCTTTGTCGTTAAAATTTCACTTCATGTACTATTATAAAAAAAAATCTTCGTCTCTCAAATTGTCCGAAAGTAAAATAATATTACTAAGTCATAGAAATTAAAAGAATATAAAGAATATCGATGGTAAGTTTTGCGATTAATCAAAAATAATCATTAATATCTATGTCAACATCATAAATGGATTATCCATTTTTAAGAATATTTGCGAATAGTGGTTTTCTCTCTTCACTGATTTTCTAAATCTTCCATTCAATAGCTGCTAATGCTTTATATGTATGTCACTTTTTTAATCAAAACTTATTCGATGATGCTCTATCATTTTAATAACAATTATATATTATAACAATGTTTCCTGCAATTGCAAATCTCTTAAATTAATAATTATGTTTTTTACATCAGTAATGATACATGCAATACTGCGCGACAATGAAACATTATATATATACATTAATATCTAGATTAGTATAAAATTTCCTAATCTTTCAAATTCATAAGAAAAGAACGTGTATACCATATTATATGCGATACCATGAAAACGAAACAAAAATCGAGAAGTTTAATTAAAACATTTATTTGAAAACATTTTCTTAAGATACTTGTCTTTATCACACAGACCAATTAAATGGGACTAAACAAAAAATTCTTTAAGCAAAGCTATAATTGACTTAAGCGCTTGCCTAAAATAAATACGAATTCTCAGTACTTCTATACATGACCACATTGTTCAATCACTTTTTGAAGAATTTATTGCACTTCTTATTCGACAAATATATATACACTTGTTCCCTTTTATCAAATCATCCTCTTGCTCTATAATAATTTATAATTGATGTTTTTTGATGCAAAAAATAATAAATAAAACTTTCCTAAATATTTTTCCTGACCCAATTTTTAAATATTATGTATTTGTATCGTACTGTTTTTATGCTTATCTTAAAAAGATTTAAGGAATTTAAGGAACTAACGAAATACGCGGCAAGGTCCAGATTGAGCTTATCGTTAAGACAAAAATCTTGTATCGACTGTTTGGTACAGGAATACAGCTGCTTTAGGATCAGTTGAATTTTTATTATATTGATAGAACCAACATTCGATAGGAATCTCACTGTAATTCATTAATCATTATATAAATAGTAAGTTTGGCGTACAAGTACAGTGTGCAGCAAATAACGTAGACATCACCATCATTTTCAATATCAATTCAGATATTTTTTACTATTACATTTTAAGCAAATATAGATAATGTATTAATTTAACTTTTGATCCTATAATATAATCGTTTTTATAATTATGACTTCTTCATTAGTTATTTAACGATGTACGTATGTGCGTGCGTTCATATGTGTATGTGTGTGTGCGTACGAGATCTATTAAAAAAGACAGAATAGAATTTTTTGTTTGCGTGCTAATGATTTGAAAGAGAAGTTATATGATAGAAAATCTTTATTTTAAAAATAAATACCACATGCAGTATTAATTATCTGTAATTTTTTGTGCAGCAAATAGTATTGTACTGTGAGCATGTAATGAGTTATGAATGTTACAAATGCATGTGGTGCATATTTATTTTTAGAATAAAAACCAGCACGTAATAATAACGTGGTCTTTAAATTAACGCTCCTTCAAATTAGCATGTGACAAAGAAATTTGATGACTTTTTAAGTATACTTCGTATGTATATATATGTACATGTATATATATGTATGTGTATATTATGTGCATATGTATTTATAATATAAATAAGTCAACTAATGTTGAACAGTTTTTTCTTTACACAGAATAAGTTGTTTACAAGAATAAAATGATAATTTATTTATATTAATTACAATGTTTTGTTAGAAATATTTCGAAATAATGAATAAAATAATTTTATGTTATATCTTTTTAATATAATAAGATTAAGTATTATATAAATTATTAGTTCAGTTCAGGAGAACATAAACAGAAAGTAATGTTGACTCCTTGTTATCGTCCTATATTATATTTAGGACGTTTTTTCTCTAAATTTGAACATTTATATTACAAGTTACAAAGTCATGCAACATAACGAAGAAGCGACTGCTGTTTGCACAAAATCCAATTAAATTTATGAAAATGTAATCGAATAAATTGTATAACAATCTTGTCCGAGTGCATTTTTATGCTTGATTTTTATAATACATTACATTGTTTTTTTGCATCATTGATTCATTCTTTTACATGTTTTACATCTCGGAGGTTCACAAAACAAGTATAAAATTTCAGCGTGAATCGCAATATGGAAATGTCAATTAAAAAATTTGCATGCCAAAAGATGGAATCGTTTGATGACAAGAAAGTTATTCTGTATTTTCTATAAGATTGATAATAGATAATTAATTGCATTAGATATGCAATTAAAAAAATGTGTTCTTATCATTATCTGTAATTTAACCATAATATTGTTAATGACAAATATAAGATTATGGATATGAAATAACACATATTACAAAGATGTGAGTGCATAAAATGCGAGAAAGCGAGCATGTTTCAAATAATTGTCCCGATTGGCTATATAACGAAATTATGCCAGTATATATGTAGTAGCTCTAAATGGCCTATTACATTTATTACATATAATTACTTTACTATAAATAGTGTGTATGAATAATAGCCGTACTTTTACACTTGGTTGTATCGATTATTTATTTTGAAAGCATAAATGTGATTTTATTAGAATTATAAGAGATGTCTGCGGATGTGTTATCAAATTATATTATCAGATTAGAATTGGATAAAAGTAACATAAGACACGATGTAAAATCATTTCCTTTATTAAAGATTTTTTAAAATCATATGGCTTTTTATTAGCGATTTTTATGTTAATGGATAAGAATTTGTATTTCACATACACACACACACACACACAACTGTAATTAAATATATATATTAAAAACATAATAAGAGTAACTTTAACAATTATTTCATATTAAAATTATAATATTTTTTTGTGTTTAATTTCATATACAAT